GATTAGATTAAACCAGACATTAAGGAAGCCGAGTGGAAAGAGCGATGAAGAGACAGACACAGAGATTAGATCAAAACATTCATGTTCTTTATTCTGGATAGCTGCAGAACAACTTCCCCAAGAACACCGACACGACACGAAGCGACTCGCAAGCGAGAATCAGGAGGTACTCTATTTTTTGAATTCTATAATCCTTATATTCCTTTTTCAGGCCGCAGCTCAACACGGCAAACTCTGCAGGGACAACCGCGAAGAGCTGCAGAGAGCAAGACAAGGATTGACTGCTTTTGGATTAGGTTAGTGGACACTTTAAATGGCGTCCGGTCACTACCCCGAAAAGTCACTACCCCGAAAGTCACTACCCCGAAAAGTCATTACCCCGAAAAGTCACTACCCCGAAAGTCACTACCCCGAAAAATGATAGCATTGTTTTTCCCGGAAAAATCCAGTTTTCATGCGGTTTTCCTATGAAAATTATGTAAATTATTTCGGGGTAGTGACTTTTCGGGGTAGTGACTTTTCGGGGTAATGACTTTCGAGTGACTTTCGGGGTAATGACTTTTCGGGGTAGTGACTTTTCGGGGTAATGACTTTTCGGGGTAGTGACTTTTCGGGGTAGTGACTTTCGGGGTTGTGACTTTCGGGGTAGTGACTTTTCGGGGTAGTGACTGTACCCCCTTTAAATACTTTTCGGCCGATTTAGTTACGAGCGCGGGGCCGCCCGCCGACAGCACCGCGCAGCAACAACTCCAGTGAAAGAAGCTAAAGCAAGTAAAAGTCTGTATCTATTTTATTAATATTTTTTGTGTTGTATTTTTTGATTGTAAACTTTGTATTTCGGTCTCGATCCGTTGTTACTTTGATATGCGTGTTATATGTATGATAAATATGTTATAACCTATTTGCGCCTATTTTAGATCCGAAATGCACCGGAATAGCTAGGAAAACGGGGGTAAAGGGAGGAAAGCCCGGTATGGTTCAGCACCGCCACAGTACTGCTCAGTCCGGTGCGGGGTTCGTTCAGTACTTCCCAGTCCGGTGCCCGGGCTCGCCCAGGTCATTCCAGTACTGGCCAGTCCGGTGCCCGGGTTCGTCCAGGTTTTGCTACTGCGACCGGGTATTGCCCGGTCGCAGTAGAGGAAATAGCCGGCCCGAAAAGACCTGAGGAAATTCCTCCCGTGAGGAAAGGGTCAAAAGGAAAATAAAGCAAAAGAAGCGAAAAAGTTTCCGCCGATAACGACAAACTCGGTCCGAACACTCCAGAGGACACCGTAATACGCGTCATCAGGTGCACAGCGTACAGAAGTGTTTCTTTCGCACTTTTCCCCCGAAATTTTTTTTGCTATAAAATTATCACTGGAGAAAGATCATAAATCTTTATCTGCCCACACGTATCACATTTTGAAACAAAAATGAAAGGTAATTAGTCCTAGTCTTCATCGAAGAGATCGGTGCGTTGTCGGACGTCCACTTCTGGGTGCCATAGGTCGATGACGAGGACCAATCTGATAAAGAAAAATACAAAATAAAAGCAGTATAAATGCTCACCGAAAAGCTGAAGAAGACGCGCCGGCGAAGGAAAGTTCATGTTCAAAAGAGTCGTCAAAGAGAATAAAACGGCCTGTCCGCCAACCACGTCGTTCAGTTCCAACTCTAAAATTGTACAATCATTAGAGTAATTAGGGGTCTAAAAGCTTTAAAATTAACTAAGGATCTAGTAAAATTGAAAGTTTTCTTCGCTACCAACCTAATTCTTGCTTCAGACGGCACCACAAGACCGAGATGGGCTTGAAGCTTGCAGTTTGTTGGCCCACAATGCGGCAGAACGCGAGTGCCGGACGAAAGTACGGAGATTTTCATCTAAATCGGCAATACAGACTTTTTAGAAAGATACCGAAGTTCGGCTTGCATTGCTGGCCTCCCGGAATTCACGTAGAATGGCGCAGGTTTGCGGCACGATTTCGCAATTGTCTTCATCCCAATCCTCGTTTCGAAGCAGCCAAAGTGCACGCCAGTCGCCATCGATGGTGATGGCTTTATTCTCGTGCTAAAATCGAGTTAGCGTTGTCTTAACAACCACACCTCAAATTCTTCGATGTGCTCTTCAAGTGCAGCTAAGGCTTCTTTGCGGATTGCAACCCATTGCCGTTCTACGGCCTAAAAAGCATAGGTTTTTTTCTAAAAAGCCGCCCACCCTCAGGTGTTTGGTGTAGCCAGTTTGTTCCATTGTCCACCAGGGCCGCCCGGTAAGCCCTTCGATGTTGTACATGCTGCGTTGGTGCGCGGATAGGAAAAGCCCTAGTTCCGCTCCTTGCTCGTAGACCTATCGAAGATTTAATGCGTTGCTCCTATAGTTACCTTATAGGCATCAGCTGTTCTCCCCAGTAGCATCAAGCCATCGCCCAGATGATAGTAGAACCTAGGATGAGGGATATTATAAGTAATAGCGCTAGCATAAGTTTAAAAAGATGCTTAGGACGCATAAAAAGGAAGAGCTATTCGTAAAGATGTTACTTTGGATCGGTAATCTCGTCTCCGCCCTTCAACAGCCCCTTTCGCATCAACTGGACGCCGCCTTCTAGGTCGCCATCAGCCACCTAAAATATTAATAGATCATTACTGAGTTTTAAACAGGCCTTGACAACGGCCCGGGCCTGGAATTGGAGGTCCGGGCCGGGTCGGGCCGGGCCCGCTAGGCCCGGATCAGTCCCGGACGATGATTTTCGGAGAAAATTTTTCGAATTTTGAACCAAAAAACTATTTTTTTTCGACCTCGTTCACCTTTTTTCAATTTTTTTTTCGTTAATTTGTGTTTTCGTTGGAAAAAATCAATATGTGACCGTATCCGAGTAATTGACATTCCTGGTTTGTAGTTTTTGTAGAAGCTCTAGAAGGTTTATAAGCCGGAAATATTTTGCTTTTGGCCTGAATGGACAAGCAGAAACTGTTACGATGGTTTACAACCTGGTTTAGGGTATTTTCAGGAGCAGCTTTATAGATCTTAGCCGAAAAACGGCCAACCGCGAAAAACAGCGAACAAAAATTGTCGGTAGTTGACCTGACTATTGGCCGGCAACAAAAGATTTGTAAATAGTTTTCAGAAAGTTTGTAATGTTTTTCGATGCAGAATTAGTTAAAAACTGTTTCGAAAGTATTGCTTCGATTTATATCCAAAAACCCCCTCATAGGCCAAAATAATTTGACCGGTCCGCCCTGGCCTTATTTAGTACCGGGCCGGGCTCGGGCCTGAAATTCTGGATTTGGCCGGGCCGGGCCGGGCCCGGGCCTGGCTGGGCGACCCCCCTCAGGCCCGGCCCGGC